GCAAATCCAGGGCTGGCAGAAAATACCATTCAGTAATCTTCAGGGATAACTAAGCAAGGAAAACTAATACTCTGACTGTTTAAGCTTGAAAAACAAATTCAGAGATCAAATATAAAGAGAAGTCTAACTGTGATTCAACACCATTTTTGGGGCTGGTATGTGATAACCTGAGAACTAATGGTATGAGACAAGTGAGCTTATCAGGGAATGTGCTAAGAGCTATGGATTTTGGTGCAAGATAGAGAATTCAAAATCAGCCTCTTGGGAAAATTTGGATACCCCCAACTACCTGCTGCTTCAGGGAAATAATCCCTCTGACATCACCTGCTGTAGCTGCTTGCAGGAGGCAGATTTCTAGCTCACACAGAGGAACAGGTCTGTTAAGATGATGGTATTGAGCATTTAAAAAAAAAATATCAGGCTACTGGTAAATTTTAAATATTAGTAGGAAGGAGGTGGAACAAGGAAAGTCATGAGGAAAAGGTATGCTACAAGAATTCAAGAACCCAAAGCAGTGAGGGGAAAAAAAAAAAGTCTGAGTGGCAACAATAGCACCTGGAAGAATTACACATAGAGCTGCTGAATCAAAAATCAGAAGGGTCATTTAAAAGAAAGGTGGGGGGATAAAAGAAAGGATGGAGCAGGTAGAAAATAGGCTACATCAAGGATCAATTTCAGGGAACAAATAAGAGCAGCTGACACAAACAACAGCCTCCAAAATAAGGTAGGATGAGAGCTGCAGGAGATCCCTGAAACAAAAGGGTGTGAAGAGACAGTACAAAGGAAAGCGGGGCTTAAATCCACAAGATGGCAAGGAACCTGTGATGTCTTAAAATAAGGCTCTCAAACTCACTCAGGGAAAGAAAAACTGTGAAAGGTTTGTATCTGTATGCATGGTATTCTATGCTTTGCGTTGCTACTGGCTTAAAAAATAAATAACAGGACAAGCTCATTTTCTCAGTCCTCTCTCTTTAGTACAATTGGAGCTTTGTTACTACAGTTTAAACAGTAATTGTAATCCAAGATTAATTAATCAAGTTATTAGAAACAGAATTCCACAAGAAATATACCACACTAACTTCTAAATATTCTTCTCTTCTGTGAAATTCACCAATTTCAACATCTAGATATCAAGAACATCTAGCATCAAACCATTTGGCTCAGAAAAACTGACATGCTACACGACAAAACAAAGTCCACACTTTGGCTATGATACATCAAAACTACATCCATGACAAAAAAAATGTGGTTACTGTTATATTTTTACTCAAATTAATTTTCCTGTTTTGATGAAAGCTGCTCTCTGATGACAAATCCATATGGACTGCAGTTAAGCACAATGCAAAGGACATTTGTGGGCTGTAACACTTACTGCTAATACTCATGAACACGAGTGGCACCTGAAACTATCAAAACTGGAAAAAATTAGACAACTGATTCTTAACTTTCATATAATTAATAAATTAAAACATACCTATAGTTGAAGCAAAGAACTACAATTATTACAAAGAGAAACAGAAAAATTGCAGTAAAGAAAAATCTAAAATAAGAAATACTAAAATAATGTAATTCAGGGAAGATCAATTTATTCTGGGTGTGTACCTCTAGTAATGGAAGTGTAAGAGCTGGCTGAAAGTATTCTTCCCCACTGTCCTCAATTACAGGTTAGAAAGTGTCATGTTACTAGCATAACATAACAGGCAGTATTCTATAAATTCATTCATTATATCAAATGCCTGTAAAAATATGTAAGTAACACTGGAGTTGCATTCAAAGTCTTACAATCACTTTGGGCACCTGAGATAAAAAAAAATTTCTGTAATTACACCAATTAAGAGAAAGGAATCCAGACATCCACTCAGCACATACCATTCATTCTCTTCATAACTGTCAGAATCAAAGTTTCCCACAACTAACTCATAGGAAACACTAAGAATAGGTATAATTTTCCTTGGGTTAAAAAATATCCAAAATTAACAACTACAAACATGCTGAATCACAGAAAAATACCAATATTCTGATACAGCATCACAAACAGTTCCATCAAGTTAAAATGCCTATGGTACTTTTTGCTCTTGAATAGACGAGGATCAGTCTGTCAGAAGTCTGTCAGAGCTCATCTCTGCCATGGTTGCTGTGAGAATCTTTACAGACAAGGATTTCTGTTCTATGCTGTGGTACTGTAGCCTTGACAAAACTGCTGAGTATGAAGACATCAGTTAACTTTGCTCATACCGGTTTGCTTCTGATCTCATCAAATAATCTCCCTCCCATGCACAGAGGTAACCCTAAAGAACCAATTATTCCATACAAGTGTATCAAGTCTCAAAAAAATCACAGAACACTTCTCAGAAAATTTTCATCTAAAACAGAAAATGCTCAATGCACATAACAATATTGCAACCCCTTCTCAAAATATTTTATTGTGAAAATACAACATGAGATTTTGTTTTTTATTTAATTACTGCAAGTGAATGAGGGACAAGTTCAAAAGTACAGAATACTACTACATAAAATATGATGTTAGAGGAGAGGGAGAGGAAAGCAAACAACTGAAAGAAGCCAGCTTGCTCAGCTACATAAAAGAAGACCTGGCAGACCTTGATAACCACAACAAAATCCTGTAAGGATACATGATTGCCTGCAGTTAGGTAAAGTTTAAGGACTTGGAGTGTAATTTCTGAAAATTTACTTTGTTGCCAAGTTCATTTCCTTTTGAAAGGGCAAAAGGTTTACTATGTTCTGGTTTAACAACCTATTACCAATGTAGGCTTTACTGAACCTACACCTACACATTCATGTCCTTTTGGGAGCAGCATTAGAATGCTCCAGGTTTTGCAGATTCACATGTTTACCGAGCTGAATATAGCACATCAGAAACAAGCACACAAAGGATGGAAAAAGGTGTAAAATATTAATATAGTTAGATTTAATTTTGTTACTGCAATTGAGTGTTGTCTAATTGCACACAGCAAATATCCTGGGTACTCCATTGTTCAATAAAAAAGGGGGGAAAAAAAGATACAAAGAGAGAGACACTTCCTTACACCCCCCACCAACTGGCATATCCAAGTGGTTCTTCCTCCTTTCAGTGAGCTGTTACGGATTTACTGCCTCTTGGTGAAATACATAAAACCTTCATCTGATGTAAAGAGCTCCACTTTGGGCATGTCTAGTTACCCTCCACATCTATTTGATTAGAGAGTAAAAAGAAAATTACTCAATATGCCATATATCACAGCAACTAGCTCAAGAAATAAAAATTACTAAGTACATAACCAAGATTTCAGGCACCTATTTCTTTTAAGTGGGTAGTGGATTATTTTAAAAAATAATTTCACTGAACATTTAACCTAGAACTATTAATAAAAAGGACAAGAAAGAGATTCCAAAGATAAAACTCTGATGTGTTTTATACTACACATTTTAAATTAATACATAATTTAGCTCATAGTCAATAAATTACCAGGTTAATTCTGAGAAGTTATTGCAGAAAAACAATTTCACAACGACTATGTCAACAGTTTGATGAATTATTTGTTTTATTATTGTGTATTTATTTTGTTTTCACATTAACAGTTCTTTCAAGAACATTTTGATTTTTCTACCTGCACAACATAGAAAAAGTATTAAAGAAAATTTACTTCAATTTCTACTCCAGAAAACTGGTACAGAAGGTTTCTCACTATTAGTCTTTAAACACCTCAGACTTCAAGGTTACACTGATCTGTTAGAAAGGCCAAGGTTATAAATTTTTTCTGTACATTTAAAGGCACATGTCAGATAACTTGAAAATGTAGTGCAAAAGCCCACTATCTCAGTATTACTTCAAAATTTCCTTTTCACTTTAAAGGAAAACCAATCATTTGCAAAAACATACAGAGATATTATAGTTAAGACTGGATTGCATTTTTAATTCTAACTGGTTCACCTTCACTTAATTAAATAAACAGATCTAATTTCAACATCTCATAACACTTAATTGAACAAGTATTTAATAGAACTCACAGCAAATATCAAGGCACACACAACTCAGTATATTGCTTTCCATTTGAAAGTTCCAAAATGTCAATAATTGGACCTCATAACTTCTCCCGAAGAAGGTAACATTACTTTTGCTCTATAAACAGAGAATTTGAATAAGAAGTAATAAATCCACCTGGTAAAGTACTGAATAAAGCCAAGATTCCATGCTGCAGCTACTACAATGCTGAATGTTTATTCAGTGTTCTGCCATTTTGCTTTTATTTTTTGGTACAGTTGTAATGAGGTACCATTTATTAAAGGTTTCTGTTAAGAAATTCCTACTAAGCCACAGAGATCAACTACAGCTACCAGAAACTGACAACAGGGTACACAAACTAAAAGAAAGAATTTAGCCAAACTCTACCACAAGAAGATTTCTACAGGAACATCAGCTTCATTCGATTATTTCAGGTCTTCAGAGCCAGCCTAGGAAGACGCTCTGCATACACTGAATGCAATTCTCTTTGGCTCTCACAGAAAACACAAAAACCTTCTTTCCACCTAATATTTTCAATACTCAACACTTTCAAACCTATTACTTAGTTTTTCTAATTCAATCAAAGAATAATACAAAGCCTGCCCCACCATGGTTTATGGATGACTGCTCTCCTCCATACTTCCCACACCATCATGTTGTGCCCTCAGGCAGCACATTCAGGGGAAAACAGCCCAAGTCAAAGCAGTGGGTATCAGGAGATAGAAGCCATAAAACAGTGGAAGCAATATCTAGCTCTTAATTAATAGTCTGAATCTATTAATTTTTTGGGTTTTTTTTTCCTGAAAGTAAGAGCTAAAACTGATTTGCCCCAGTTCACTGACAGAAAAAGACATGCTATTTAATTATTCATCCAGCAGTTAAAAAAAACCAAAAAACAAACTACACTGCTATTACATAAAAGCCAAAACCAAGCAATACATTCAGTTCACTTGTTATCTTAAATTACTACAATAACCACTGAACTTGAACCACTCACCTTTGACACACTGTTAAAAGGATCCAGGCAGTGAAAGGCAGGACTCTCCAACGAAGTTATATACACCACCGCCTGAAACAACAAACATATTTTAGTTCTAGCACTAAACTTAGAACACTTCCAAATAGGTGATTTAGCCTTCAGGCTGTCAAAACCTCCTATGAGATGGCAAAGAGCAGACAGAATGGTTTGAACTTGATCCACCTGTTTAGCATAAACAGACCCCATCTTCAGATTTAACTCCTCTCTCTCAATGAATACTAGGTTATTTTAACACCAAACAATCCAAACCATGCACAAATTAAGGCTACATAATACAGAGAAAAATCAATTAAATTGAATTAAAAATTCATTCTGGTGTTAGAAAGATTATATTTTACAAAGCACCATCTATTTACTGTTTTCTTCACTCTTGTATTAGTCAGTTTAACTTGACTGTACTTTCTAAGAAAAGGAAAATGCTTCTACATGAGGAAAAGAGGTAGAGCAACAAAAGCATAGCCAGGAGTTTTGTGAGGCAGTAAAGTATTTCCATGCAGAAGGCACTCACACATACAGATGTGTAATTGAGCTGGATTAATACCACGTGTGGCTTGAAGCCTTCTGGCACAAGACATGATGACCCAACGAGAGAGCTCTGACAGCGGTGGTGAAGCTTGTCAAAGTGTCAGAGAACCACATTCAGGGAAATTCTGGCTGAATTTAAAGGCACAAGGCTGGCTAAGCACAGCCACACACCCTCTGTGAAGTGATGGGCCTTCTACCTGACATAGTCTCAAATTCTACTGAACATGGCCCCAGGTGCAGCCTCAGCCCTGACAGAATCATATCTTGTCCAGAGGTCCTTCCTGGCCTCCGTTGTTCTGTTAAGTATTTCTAGCCACAAAAGTAACTGTTCAGAAGAAAGGTCAGAATGTTTAAACACTTGTTTCTGTTTTCTAATGACCCTTCTAACTCCACAGGATGTCTAACAAATTCAAGCAGTGTAAACCCATTAAGATCCAATTCAAAAAGAAGAAAAATTCTCATCAACTTCTTGTGCTGCAGCCTCTACCTCATAAGAACGATGCGTTAAAACTCCTATACAACCCAGGCCACTCAGGTACAAATATTTCTGTTCAAAGTCTTTTCTGAACAGATTCCAAGCAGTTGTGATTCCACAAAAACATCACAGGAAGAAATTAACTTCAGAGGAGCAAGTCACCCAGTGATCCCATGTACGATTACAAAGTGAGGGGAGAATAAAAAAGTATTGACAGTGGTATTATAAATATCTTACACAGATGTTTCAAAGTGAGATTTACTCTCCCGTTCATTAATAGGTAGAGTAACAGAACGACTAAAGTAGTTCAAAAAGTTTGACAAACATTTAAACTTAAACATATTGTTAGGAGGTCAAGAACACAAGACTCCCTGACCCTCAGCTCCTGGAAGCTCACGCTTTGCTCCCCAGCAGCTGCAACGGGAGACAAACCCTTGCCAGCCCTCTTGAAAAACACACAAGATTAAAAAAATAAATGAGTAACAGAGGATGGCAAATTATGAGGAAATGTTATTCCAACAGAAGAGCCTCCTGATACAGCTCACCACCCGAATGAAGATTTGCCTGTGACAGCAGAAAGCAGGCAGGACTGGAAGGTGATCAATCCCTTCTCCTCTGTCAAGTGGTAGCTGGAATAGCTGCTGCCCCACTTGGGTTTTCAATGCTCTGCAGACTCAGACCATAGGCAACAACACTTTGCTGTATCAATTTTTCTATCCAATTATCTAATTATCTATCCAATCTTAACTGTCTTCCCACTGAAAATTGCTCTAGTGAAATTGCAGGACGGATATCAAGTAAATGGGAGAGATACTTTAATAAATGAAGCAACATTAAAACTCTGAGGCAGAACAGATGTATTTTCCTGCTGACTGAATGTTTCGTAGTACATAGTTTTTCTCCTGTCAATAATACAAGGATATTTTTAATATTAAGAGGTAAAAATGAGAAAACAAAAATCTCCTCCTTTTTTTGGTACAAGATCTTCTGAGTAGTACTGTCTTTCCTTGTTCTACCTTACAAATAATCTACTACTCATTACCATCTATCACTGAATGCAGTACCAAGGCTCTGATTTTGTTAGGGTATTTTTGCTTTGCTCCTTAAAGAAAAACACAATACCTTCCTCAATTATTACTTCCACTTTCACAAATGCACACTTGCAAATAGAAAATGTATTTGAAAGTGAGCTGAAAAACAGCACTATTCATCATCAGTACTTGAAAAACTAGCCCAGTATTTATCAGTCTGTCTTGGTTTAAAAAAGATATAGTCAAATAGAGAAGTACAGTTGGGAAAAGAAAGAGTCCAAATTTCATCTAAACGCATAAGAAAAGAATGAGTCATGTGTTTATCTCAACATAACAATGCTAACTTCCTTCTGTACAGCAAGAATGGTTTTATTCTGGCAGTTCAATTAACACACATTGGAATGTTAATGGTGATAGTGCAAATCGTCAAAGGAAGATGTACAAAAAAACCACACTTCTAACAACACCTAGATTGGAATAAAACTCTGTTAATCTAAAAGACACACAAGATGCAGACTGGTCTCTGTGCTCCTTGGGTTCAATCCTGTTGCATCATGACTCCATTTTCTATTTTTCTCATGATAAAAATCTTCACTTGGCTTTGGAAAAGCCAAAGGAAGTTTTCTGCTAGGAGTCACGCTAACAGTCACTTCCCCAGAGGAGTAGCTAATTTCCATCACACACCCCCACAGTCCAAAGCTTTGCCCAAAACACTGCGATTTGCCAAGTGACACAAACTCAGGATGGAAACCCAGACCTCAAATATTTCACTTATATTTAAAATCTTCCTTGAAATGTTCCTTTAAAATGTGTTCCTTGAAACAATCTTCAGTTACAGAAGTAAGGATCTTTCTTCTCAAGGGTCAAAAATTGTAACAGCTGTTAGTGTTTGGGACTTCTTGCTCCCAGGCAAAGTTTGCACCACACATGGAGTTTTCTGGTTCGCCTGCTATGTCCTACCAGCCAGGACTAGAAAGAAATATTTGATAGCACAGACATTCTGGGGAATGAATTGTTAAATTTTGAGAGTATAAAATTATTTCCAACCACCTTCAAAAGCCTTGCAGCACACAGGATTTAGTGTTCACCCAAAAGACAAACTGGCGCAACATTGGAAAACTCGGGAAATCAAGTCAACAACTTTTTTTGTAAGTCAGCAAAGCAAATAGAGGCACAGAGGTGGGCACTCTTCTCTTATGGTGCCCCCAGTGCCCATCACTTCTGTATAACTTAGCACAATGTCCATTTGATGTACCTCACTCAGTGCATCTACTACTAGAGTAATGTCAGCCCTGCCACATGTAAAATGCCACAGCTCCTCGCCACTCATGAGTCTCTCCATACCCTACACTTTCCTTGAGGCCTAGAGCAGAGGAATACAAGACTATGACAAGGAATAGGAGTGGCAGAATATAGGAACTGGATGAACGTGTACAAACACACAAAGCAAAAAGACAAATTTATCCAGTCTTCAACAGTAACTTTAGACACTCATTTACTTTCTAAACCAAGGTCTTCCAAACACAAGACCTATAAAAGTTCCACAGTAAAAAGCCCCTGTCAACAGTCAGAAATAAAAGTTTGAACTTGATGCTTGCAAATGAGCACCAGAAGGTAAATATCAGTAACATCTAATATAATAAGAACCTTAATATAAAGGTTACTACCTAACAGAATAAATTAGAGGTTTTGTAACGATTACATTGCAAGTAACATCCACAGTTATTAACCACCTCTTCTTTCACTAATAGCTCTAACGTGCCCCATTTTCTTTATCTCCATGGCTAAAATCCAGATTCAGCCTTACAGCAACAATTTCGATGACAATTCTCTCAGGCTCTCTTCCCAATACCCAACCACCTCCTATTTAAATTCTGACATGAAATAGCTAAAATAATCTCTTTGATACTTAATATGCTAATACACAAGAATGATCTGACCATAAACCTGTACTGCACAGAGTGGGAATTTTAACTCCAATTGACATATTACTGGTGACCTTCTGGAGAACAAATGAAAAGCATCACATTAATACAAATTCTCCTGTGGAGAAGATCAAACTGGCAATCTGCCAGTTCATTATACCATCTAGCTTCACTTCAACATTAAATATTGCCTTCCTTTGTAATTGACTGAAATACACTGGAGCAATTGCAGGTAACCACTTTGGACTATTAAAGTATTCCATTAAGACTTCTCCATTAGGCAGATATTTCAAAAGAAGTTACTTTAAAACAGGCTATGTTCAAAATATTTTAACTATGCAGACAATTGGACAAGCACAATCCAGTTCCATGGATTAGCAGACAGATCAGCCTAAGCACTCAAAAGCCCAATGCCCGAATTTGCTTAGGGAAAAGAAACCCAACAAGTTTTTGAATACTCTAGTATATACTTTGCATTTTAAACCTCCTAGTCATATATATAATTTCAAAAACTCAATTAATATTACCTTCTTCTACAGCTAAGAAAATGGTTATGTTAAAATAGCAATACACTTTCAGAGTCAGTATGAAACACAGGGAGAAAAGGAAAAGAAAAAGGAAAAGTGGATTTACATCATATTTAAGGTTTCAAAAAGGCAGCAAATTACAACACTGCATTACAATGTGTGTAAAATTTTAAAAACAAACAAAAGTTAAAAATCCTTTCATACTATATAATCTACACAACTAAGCTTTTCTTCTCTTAAGATTGTGATTCCCTAACAGCAAGGAAGCAAGTGAAATGAGGCACAAGAATAGGTTCACTGCCTTGCGTGAGATACTTAAAACACTGGGGAAGATTTGAGCTTGTATGCCAGCTATAAAAATGGGACTAGCCCTTGAAGCAAAGAGAAAATTCTATGTTTAAATGGGCTTTCTAAAGTAGTCCAGGTTTGGAACCATCACCAGAGGCTGTAAAAGTTACTCTAAGAAATTCATGTCTCTACTGAACAGCACACAGGCAGGAGGTTGTGCATCTTCTCTGTGTTCCTGTCTGGATGCAAGAGCTGTCGT